TGAAAACATGTTGCAAACGAATCCTCTACGGGCAACATCTTAGTTATTGTTGTGGCTGCTATTTGTTGGGAGTCGGGGGTCAGGGCCTGATTCCTCATCCTGTAGACTCCAGGTGCCCCAAGTAAAGATCCAGATGCCTTTGGCACAGGTGTCCATGCTCACCCTGGCTTGTCTGTTCTCAGGAAGAACGCTGTGGAGCTGGAACTTGCCAAGTGCAGGATGGACATGATGTCGCTGAACAGCCAGCTGCTGGATGCCATTCAGCAGAAACTGAACCTCTCGCAGCAGCTGGAGGCTTGGCAGGTAAACCAGAGCCCTGAGATCAAGGGCGAGAGAAGATTCCAGGAGGAATCTCTGAACCTAGGCAGAGTGTAAGGAGAGTTTGCTACTGGAGGGCCCATGTGACTGGGTGAACAGCACATCTCAGTCTCTACCTGGCAAGATCAAGAGCTCCTGTTTTCCTAGTCCTGGGGAAGAATGCGTAAGGCTGCCGGAGCCACAGTCCCCAGGCTGTTGCTGTTTGGAGATGTAGTGATCTCCAGACTTGGAACGGGGTCCCCCGGCAGCTGGTTGTCTGGGCTTTAAGCTGGAAAGGAACAACTGGTTAACATGGAGGGCCCAGGAAGCTCCATAAGATTGCATGAAAATTCACAGCTGGATGTGGCTCAGCGGCCCTCCCGCAGCCAGCAGCTGCCGCCCTTCTCCTTTTCAAGGGCCAGCCTCCTTTTTCCAAAGAGCACTGTGCTGGCGCAGGCCCTGGGGAAGATAAATCAGTGGGTCCCTCTCTAAGCCCACTGTATTTGGGGTCCAGCATGGGCCGGGGCTGTGGCTGGCTTGGTTTTATTGGTGAGGTTGAGGTGGCACAGTTTTAGGATATGGGTATAAACATTAATGTTTCTCCCCAAGAATTCTCGTCCAGACAGATGAAAAAGCCATCTGTGGCTTTACAAGGTAAGCCCCCTGAGGAGGGCAGGTTGTTGGTGACCATTCCTCCCAGGCCCCCTTGGGGCTGGCAGCTAGAGCACTGGCCCCACCACAGGGTGCCGGTCCCTGGCTCCTCGGCTCTGCATGGCAGCCAGCTGGCCGCGCCCTGGCTGACCTCAGTTTTCTCTCTTCTCTCCCGGCTACAGTTTGCTTCCTCAGGGCTTTTTACTATCTGGCTCCTTTGGTTTCTGATCTAGTGGCCTTTCTCAGTTCCCGTATCAACAGCTTTAGTTGTACACCCCTCCTGCCTTTGAGGTGAGCCTGAGCCCTGAATCCCATCCACCCTATTGCCCTGCCGTCCCGCTGCCTCCCCTCATGGCCCACTGTGTTCTGTGTGCTGGAGCCTGGCGTCATCTCTGTGCACTGTGACATGTCCTCCAGTCCCAACTTCCTCCTCCATCACAGTCGCATCCGGTGAGCTCCTCGGCAGCACGTGGCCCAGCGCTGATGGCTGTTGCCATCTTCTCATAAATGGCTGTTCTGTCCACTGAGGGACCAGCAGGCATGGAATTGTGAGCAACATGTGTCTGGGAAACTCTAAAGGGGTGAGCCAGACAGAACTGATTGCTTAAACTTAAAAAATGCAGTTTACAGTGTGCCAGACAAAACACTGGCAGCTTTGAAAGGTCGGTTTTTGAAGGGCCCTTTAGCGTTCCTACATTGGTTTTAGCTTAGATTTTACTGAGCACGTCCTAAGTGCAGGGCACTGTGCCAAAGATCATACAATGGAACCTTGCAAGTAGAGACCATGTGTTGGCAAATACCTGGTATGTTGTCAGCTCTGAGGGGCAAGCAGAAAAGGGAATGGAAGAGAAGGGAGGAAGATGAGGGCAAGAAGACCAGGAAGGAGCTGAGTCTGACAGACGGGGCTGAGAGGATGGGGAGGCTGGAGAGCAGGCCCTGAACCAGAGAGCATGAGGAGTCCACACTCACTGCTACCCCACGACGACTCAGGGAGGCCCCTTTGTTTCATGCTGAAACCTGCAGAGATACTAGAACGACACCCACGGGTGAGAGGGAGGAGGAGATGGACAAGCTGCTCAGGTGGAGGGGCCTGGCCAGCCCAACTTCATGCCCTCATCTCACAAGTGGCTGCTCAGTACCAGAGAGGTCATCTACCCCAGCCACAGGGAGCCTGCCCTGAATGCAGGCCTCACCTGTCCTGTGCTCAGATGCCGTAGACTGACTCACTCCAGGGTTTAGCCAAGAAAAGCTCAGGGTCTTTTTACCAGGATGCCACAGAGCCTGCCAGGTTCAAGTCATGAAGCAATCGAGCAGATGCATGTTACATTTACTGATGATGCTAATTACACAGGCTGCTCATATTTCTAAACCAGTAGTTTTCAAACTTTGTTAGTGGCAGAACGCTTTTGTCGAATGGAGTCTACTTAAGAGTCAGAATCTAGCCACTAGAATGGGAAGGGGGTGGAGCTGCCCTGTCCACAGGCTCCTCTATGGGAGAGGCTGCTATTCTGTAAAACATGGTGGGGCGGGCCATGGGGAGGAAGGCATTTTCTGGACAACAGGAGCCCCCAAGTCCAGGCCACTGGGCTGGGAGCTGGTAAACCAAAGTGGCCCAAGGGCTTTCAGGGGCTGGAGGTGGCAAACCAAACCGGAGGCACAGCCAGGCCCACAGGACCCATGAGGCAGAGCCACGAGGCCTGGTCAGAGGAGGCGGAGTGCCAGCGTGGGGACTGCAGGGGCAGACCACCCGAGGAGTCAGCTGAGGACCATGGTGGTCCAGCAGGGGTCATACTGTCGAGGAGAACCCAGCCCAAGCCTGAGGAGGCTGGAGGTGCCGTACGGCTCCTGCGTGTGCCTGGTGTCATGCCCATGCTCACTGCTTTTGTGGTCAGGGCAGTCCCGGCTGCAGCCGCTCACTCATCTCATCCTCATCTCTCATCTGTCTGATGTTGCCACCTCCCTGTCCACCCCTAGGGCCAGGTCAGAGCAGCTGCTCAGCCCTGACCACTCTCCCCTCTCCTCTGCAGGATGACATGCACAGGGTCATTGACCGGCAGCTGATGGACACTCACCTGAAGGAACGGAGCCAGCCGGCTGCTTCCCTCTGCAGGGGCCATAGTGCCGGGCGGGGGGACGAGCCCAGCACTGCTGAAGGCAAACGACTCTTCTCATTCTTCAGGAAAATTTAAGTTAGGAGGAGTCAGGCCACCAAAGATGGGTGGACTGGAGGCAGCTGGACAAGCAGTGCAGGCGAGGGCCTCCCCGCAGTGTGCAGCTAAGCAGCTGCCCTGCCCCTCGCACTAGGGCCCCGTGGGTCCGGGAGGGCCTTCTCCCTTTCGTCAGTGGGGATGGAAACCTAGAGTTGGGGGTCTTCCTTGGCCACTGAAGGCTGCCCTTGGCCCACCGCCTGGCCGAGCCCACATGTGGGCTTCTCCAGGATCCCGTGCTGGAGCAGGGTTAAGGGGCCTCTTGGTGTTGGGTTCTCGGCGCAGCCCAACAGATTGAAGCTCACCCCCAGGCACTGCTGCCTCCTTGATTTGAGCCAATGGGGAACAGAAGGAATGGAGGCCTTTCTCTGCATGCCTCAGGAGGCCTTAGTCCCGGGGGCCTCGTCCTGCGGGGCAGCAGGCCATGCCTAAGCCTCCATTCCTTCCCTAGCCCCTGGCCCAGGGTCGAAGGGGAGATGGCAGCCCCTCCCCCTCGTGCATGCACCTCTGCTGGCAGGAGGCCAAGCCTCTGGCCGCAGGGCCTAAGAGCCAGGGCTTACCCAAGCTCAGCTGAGGCCACAGCCCCTGAGCCCCCAGGAGGAAGAAGACCCTGTCCCCCGGCCGCCACTACTGTCCCTCCCAGCCTCCAGTCTGCCCCTTAGCAGGGCCAGGCCAGGCAGAGTGTTCTCGCCAGTCATCTGCAGGCTTTAGCCATCCAGCCCTTTCCCCTGCTCAGGGCTGGGGCTGGACGGGGTCTCCTCCTGCCCTCACATCTCCCTTCTCCACCCCTCACATACACAACTTCTTGGCCCAGCCAAGCAAGTCCAGACCACAGAATGGCACCAGAGGGGTCTGTGGTCAGCCACCCCACCTTGAGGGCAGCATGGGCACCGTGGGGTGGAGGGAATGGGAAGGCTGCCAGGAGCCTCCAGACGCTGCCTGCTGGCTGCTGCTCCTGCCTTGGCAGCTGCCCCACCTCCTCCACCCAGGCCCCCAACTCAGAGGCTCCGTGGCCCAGCCAGCCCCCAGCTGCTCACAACTGATTCAGTCTCCCTCCCTCACACGGGGAAAGCACAGCAGGGATGTGCGGAAAGAATGTACCTGTAGATGTGTACATACCACAGTGCTGTAATTTTGTATGTAGCAATCATGTAAATACATGTATGGATTTTATAAATATACATATATAAAAATCTATAAAGGCATATTTTTAGAAAAACAGCACACCACTGCTTCTTTTGAAAATAGTCTGAATAAGAATAAAATGAATTTCTACAGAGCTTCCTGCCTTTGTCTATTTGCACGGTACGGGGGGTTTGGTCTAAATGTAGACGATATGTCAGACTCACCACTGGCTGCTGCTGAAGAGGTAGCACTTGTGGGTTCCCCTGCATCTGGGTCACTGCAGATGCTGGTAGTGAACCAAGGGATGTGGCCAGGAAGGGGGGATCCTGCCCTGCCCCTCTCGCCTGGCACTGTCCCCTGCCAGCGCTGCTTCCCAGGCCAGCAGGGCCCTAAAGCTTGGCAGAAACTTCAAGCCAGAAAGAGCCACTCCAGGCACAGGCTTCCACTGCATCTTTCCAGGCATGCGGAGGGTAAACACAGAGCTTCCCCTGGCATCTTACCACATGTGCTCCCAGCCAATGCATCCAACTAGGGGGAACTCAACTTTGGACCACCTGTTCATGGAGAAATCGGATCTGGCTTCTGGAAGTGTCCCAGGCCTCTACAGGCTCCTGTGCAAGACCTAGACCAAGAACAGGGAAGAGCTGGACACTGTGGGTGGCAAGAAGCCAGGCCCACTCAGAGCACATCTCTGGAGGGAAAGCAAACAGACCCTGGAAGAAAATTTGGCAGCTTGAACCTTTATTTTTAGTATTTTTTTAAAAAGCATAATTAGAAACTTTCAATACAGAAATAATCCTAGCAAACCATTTAAAAGTGGTGGTGTTTGACAGGAATTTCACAACAGGTCCACTAGGACGTCGGTCCAGCCCTGATTCCCCACCCCCACCCCGTAACCCCCATTCATGCGTGTAACAGTGGGACAGGCACATTGCCATGACCAAAATCACCCTACCACCTGGGGCTGGACGTCCAGCTGCCAGAAGCCATGGGGGCTCCTAGCCTGGGCTGGAAGCTCCCAGGACCAACCCCCCCTAACTTATTGCTTGAATTTGCAAGCACACCCCTGCTGGCCTCGCTTGATCACTCAGAGGCAAGCATGCCCCCCACCCACCAGCACAGGAGCCCCCAAGCACCACACATCCTCACAGGGCCCATGGCCAACCAGAACAGTCACAAGGACGGAGACCCCACTTCTGCCACCCCCAGACCAGATGAGGCTGCCTGCTTGTCATCTCTGCAGCCCCTCCATAGTACCCTCCTTCCCAGGCCCACGGAGCTCCCCCACCCCATCTTGTGGCTCCAAAGTGAAGGCCTGTCCCAGAACCACCAGCTTTTGGCAGTTTGGGCACGTGGAGAGACGGGTGAGAAGAAACCCCCAGTTTTTATTGATTAAAAACCCATCCACAGTGCTAACATGGAAACTGCAGTGAGATCTGTGATGTGATTGTCCAATCAGGGCTCTGCCTGGAAATCACCTAGGAAAGGAAATCTAAGGAAACACATCCTGGAATCAGTTCTTCCCAGGTCACTTGATCCCTGTAGGGGAAAGGGTAATGAGGTGTTCGGGCCGGGGACACAGTCATCAAGTGCAGATGACCCTGGTTTTTCTCCAGGGGACTAGGGGTCAAAACTGACCACCCCAGCCATTCCTTCCCATCTGCCAGGAAATCCCCTTGCTACCTTTGTCCTGACAAAGATTAGGACAATGACTGGGGGCTGTCCACGGTCCCAGCCCAGAGGCCCCAGGCATGAGAGCCCAGCCCCACAATGGCAGGAAGCCATTCGTTTTTGTTTTTGTTTTTGTTTTTCTAAAAACAGTGGACACAAAGTGGGTTTGCCCCAACTTTTGCTGCTCTGCCAATCAAACCTCAGGGAAAGAAAATAATTGTGAGGAACTTAATTCACTGATCTGGCTTCATTCTCTTGATCTGTTAAAATACTGCTTCTGCAGCCCCCATGCCAGCCCCATCTCTGCACGAACCTACCCCAACCTTTCTGATGGAACCGAAACCTCTTGGTAGAAATGAGAAGCCATGGCTCCCCTGGGTTTGGAGCTCAGAAGCATCTAGAAGGCAGGACAAGAAATCTGTTGGCCAAGGGGCAAGACTGACCACTTCTGGAACCGCAGGACCTTGAGGCTGGGTTCCCCAGCTCTCAGAATGGCTGTGGGGGCAGGAGAACAGGGAGGGAAGGGAGCTGGCACAGGCCCCGGAGAGGGGGCAAGACCCTGCGTGCCAGGGACAGAAGCTGACAGCCTGTCGGAGAGAATGAGCAACACGGAGCCCACTCCACTGGCGCAGGCTGGCCAAGGATGCTGCTAGAACATGACGCTGTCTCCTCAGGACGCTGCTTGTAGTAAGATGGGCTGGGGAGGGGCGAAGGGAGGGTCCGTTGCAGCAGGCTGGCATCAAGGAGGCAAAAGCCAGAGCAGGACACGGTATGTGGCCGGGTAGAGCAATATACACTATGTACAGACTCTGCGAATCAGTCTGCTCGGCTGGCAGCGTCCTTGCCAGGTCCAGGCGCCTTGGCCGGGGAGAAGGGGGCACCGGTAGGGGAGGGCGGGCTGGTCCAACACCTTCTTGGCACTCGAGGGGGGAGGGAGAGGAAGTGCCGATGGCGCCTCCCGATACAAAAACATGGAGAGAATTCTTTAAATAACGGCACAAAACTGAGACTGTCCCCCGAGGAACCCCCGCGGACCTCGGGCTGGGGGAGGGACCGCAGTGCAGTCTCTGCAGTGGACTGGGCGGCATTAGCAGCATCGTTTCTTTCGTTTACTGTTCTTCGTAAGCTTCACCACGTCGTTCTGTTGTTGCTGCTGCTGTTTCGCCAGGTTGTCTTTCTTTGCTCGGAGGACCAGCTCTGTGATGCAGTTGAACATCTGTGGAGAGGAAAGAGGAAGGGCCGGCCTCACACTTGGCCAGGAGGCCCCTGGTGGCCGCACTTCCTACCTGTGAATGTTTGGTATGTATGTCTTCAAAGCCTATTCTAGAAAGAGGTGGTGAATTATTTTATTTAAAGGTCAAAAAGGAACAACATTGCTAAAACCGTCTCTACAAAAAACACAAAAATCAGCTAGGCGTGGTGGTGCACACCTGTAGTCCCAGCTACTTGGGAGGCTGAGGTGGGAGGATCACTTGAGCCCAGGAGAATGAGGCTACAGTGGGCCATGAATGATACTGCAGCCTGGATGACAGAGTTAGACTCTAACTCAACAAATAAGTTTGAAAAAAGGAACATCATCAAAGGCTCCCCATGAGCTGTGTGGACTTGGGTAGTCAATCTCACAGGAGTTCACAGGGGTTTTCCAGTCCTTTTTTTTTTTTTTTTTTTTTTTTTTTGAGAGGGAGTTTCGCTCTTGTTACCCAGGCTGGAGTGCAATGGCGCGATCTCGGCTCACCGCAACTTCCGCCTCCTGAGTTCAGGCAATTCTCCTGCCTCAGCCTCCTGAGTAGCTGGGATTACAGGCACGCGCCACCATGCCCAGCTGATTTTTTGTATTTTTAATAGAGACGGGGTTTCACCGTGTTGACCAGGATGGTCTCGATCTGTTGACCTCGTGATCCACCCGCCTCGGCCTCCCAAAGTGCTGGGATTACAGGCTTGAGCCACCGCGCCCGGCCCCTTTTTTTTTTGAGATGGAGTTTCACTCTTGTTGCCCAAGCTGGAGTGCAATGGTGCAATCTTGGCTCACCGCAACCTCCTCCTCCCAGGTTTAAGCACTCCTCCTGCCTCAGCCTCCTGAGTAGCTGGGGATTACAGGCGTGTACCACCATGCCTGGCTAATTTTTTGTATTTTTAGTAGAGACAGGGTTTCTCCATGTTGGTCAGGCTGGTCTCAAACTCCCAACCTCAGGTGATTTGCCTGCTTCGGCCTCCCGGAGTGCTGGGATTACAGGTGTGAGCCACCAAGCCCGGCCTCCAGTCCTTTTTTTATAGAGACAAACTCCTTTCCTTCAGCTGGAATCTGGTAACATGACAAATGAAAGTGCCCGTGCCCTGTTCATGGACAGAGGTGACCCAGGGTCTGCCCGCTCCACACCACCTCACGGCATATGGGGCCCAGATGGACAGGCCGGCATCAGGACACCAGTCTGACCTGCAGAGAAGCCTTGCTCCCTGCCACTGTATGGCCCATGTGCCCCAAAGCAGTGGGGATCCTCAGCTTCCCATAGGCCTCTGAGCTCCACACCCCACAGGCGGCCAGTGAGGCAGAGGACTGGTGCAGAAACTGCTTGGCTTCGGTGTGGGACAGAGGTTTACTCAGCTTCTTACTAGCTGGGTGGTGGTCCTTAAGTTACTTCAACACTTGGAGCCTCAGTTTTCCTATTTGAAATGTGGGAATAATTGTACCCACCTCAGAGGACTGCTGAGCTATGAACTAAGATCATTAAAGGGCCTGGCACATAGTAGGCACTCAGTAAATGGCACTTACTAGGACATTTTCTATTGGCCATTTAGATGCAGGCCAACAGTGAGAAGAAAAGGGCCACGGGGATGCGGCGGAGCTGGTGACCCAGGGCCTCACCTCTTCCACGTTGACGTTCTCCTTGGCGCTGGTCTCGAACAACTGGATCCCCATCTGCCCGGCAAATTTGTAGGCATCTTCTGTCTCCACCACCTTCCGCTCAGGGTCATCATTCTTATTGCCCACTTCAAAGCAAGGCAGAGTCAGCGCAGCCCTGAAGGGCACAGCTGGCTGTCGCCCTCCCCCGACCCGACCCCCACCCCTAGCCCCTGGGCACAGTCTCACCTAATATTCGGCACACATCATCACAGTTCTGGTTGATTTCGTGAAGCCACCGCTTGACATTGACAAAGGACTCGGCACTGGTGACATCGTAAACTACAATGACCCCGTGGGTCCCCCGATAATACCTGTAGGGCCAGAGTGTGCAGCACTTCAGCCCCGGCAGGAGCCACCCTCTTGCCAGGACCCACCTGCCCACATCAGGACAGTGACCCAGGAAAGGCGAGGGTGGCCCTGGAGCCTGGGCTCTCACCCTGCTCAGCAGAGACCGGAGCCACGCCCAGAAGGCAGGAGAGGCTGCAGCAGCAGCACTGGCTCCCCCTGCCTGCCCCCAGGCGCCAGCAGGGTGGGAGAGCCAGCCCCTTGGTGGCAGAGCAGGTCTGAGGAGTCACCCCATGCTGTTCAGTCTGCTGCTGTCTTGAAACATCTTTGAAGTTCTTGCTTTATTTTGGGATTTCAGGCAGTTTTTTGTATTTGACTTCATGTTATCACTGTCTTTGAACATTCAAAAAAAATCTTTTCTCCTCAATCCCATTTTAGAGAAACGCGTTTCCAAGAAGCCACAGCATCATGAAGCCCTGGCAGAGTCTGTGTCCCTTCCTCTGGGGCAGGTGGGCGCCTCCCTTCCTGCTGCTCTTGGCTCATCTGTGTAAGTGGCAGGAAAAGCGTGGACACCACACAAGCATCTGGGGATGGCTGGGGAGAGGGACCAGCAAAGCCACCACCCGCACATGCAGACCCCAGGGCCAGCCAGGAGGGCTGGAAGGAGACATCAAACTCCTCTCTAGACCCCATCTCCCCATTCATGCGAATGGTACAGAAAGACATCAATCCCCAGAGGAAAACAGGACCACAGCCTCCGCTTCCCTCTGTCAAAGAGCTGGAGGCCAGAGAGCAACCCTGCCCTGACCTGTGCAATCAGCCAGAGCCGCCCCTCTCCTGCTCTCTCCAAGGCCGCAGGGACCTCCTCCCCGAGGCTCCTCAGGCCACCACACAAACCACGAGTGGACAGGCTGCTTCCTCCCAGCCTTCTGGCTGCCAACTGCTCCAGCCCTAAGTACCTACACCCTGCCCAGCCCTGGGGCAAAGCCTAACCTGCCCCTGCCCCTGCCCCTGCCCCACTCTGGCTCCACCCTCAACACCACTGCTGGGATCTCCTCCCAGGGCTTCATTCTGCCTGCAGCTTTGCTTCCAGGACGACATCGCTCCTTGGCTTTGGGGGAGCTGTGACAATCAAGTTGTCTTGGCACTGGGCCCAAGAACCAGCTCTGGCCTTGGCAGCAGCTGCGGAGAACAACCGGCTCAGCACACAGAACGGCGTGACGGACGCCTTCCAGAGTGAGGGCGCGCTGGAGCCGCAGGAAGAGCAGAGGAAGCGCAAGGAGTGGATGGCTCTGCAGACTCTCCTTTGCTGAAGATGATCAGAGATGCCAAGAAACACCTACAGCCAATGGCCCTGGCGCAGAGCCCCAGCAGCTCCCTGGGTACCTCTGCCTCATCTGAGGCCCAGAAAAGGGGCTTTATCTGAGAGCAGAGAATTTGTCTGCGGATGAAGTCAGGGGCTCAGAGCTCTGGGTAGGAAGGTCCAGAGCACTGAGGCTTCCCATGGCCACCAGGAATCGCTTTCACTCACCAGGACTCTGCTCTAGGCCAGGCTCAGAGCCGGGGGCTTGGTATCCATTACTTTACTAATCTCTGCAGCCACCTGATCCAGGAGACCTCAGGATGGCCATGTGACCAGCGAGGACCTGAGGCTGAGTGCACCAGCCAGATCCGACTCCCAGGCCCAGCCTTCCTTGTCACTTCTCCCCTCACCTCCACCCCACCCACACCTCTCAGCGCCAGCAAACCTCAGCTTCTGAGACCAAGAATCCAAAAGGGGGTGACCACAGGGCTCTTTCCCGCCAGGCTAAAGGGACACAGTTTCAGTTTCTCTTTTAATGCCCTGCATCAGAAAGTCACACTACTGTATCCTGACTGCCCCATTCCCAAAAACTCCGAAAACTGACTTCCCCAAAACTCCTTCCTTCTTTGCCAGTGACCATCACAGGGCATCGAGACTTCCAGTGCGCCCTGCAGGGCCTCCTGCCTTGTGAGGGCCAGAGCGGGACTCTTAAGACAGAGCTACCACTCCGCTTCCCCAGACAGGCAGGATGGCAGCAGGAGTCCAGCCACTGCCCACAGGCCACCCCTTCCTAAGCCCCCTGGGAAAATCCCATGCTGCTCCCAGGAAGCCGAGTAACTCTTTCCAGCTCCCCACGAAATGGAGGAACCAGTTCACCCTCTTCCCGCCCTGCCCAGCCCGGAAAGCAGGTGACTCCATGGTGGCAGGGAGGGACTGTGGCTCCTCCTGGTGAAAGAGCCACGGACACCCCAGGCCCCACCACCCTGCCTGGGGATTTATTCCTCATGGCCACAGGCCTCCCAACCTCTGCTGCCCCAAACCTCTGCCTGGTTTTAGAGCACAGGATGGGGCGGGAAAGCAGGGGAACCACCTGCCCAGTGGAGGAGGGCCTCGGCAGCCTCAGTGCCAACCCTGAGTACCCCTCACCCCTGCTCCCCAAGTTAGGAGGCTTCATCCTCCCTGGGCTTGTTTTCCTGTCCATAAAATGGAGATAGTCACAGGCCTCTCCACCAGGATTAACCAAAATAAAGCAGGTGAAATCCCAGCGACAGGCCCAACCCAGAGCAAGGTCAACGCCCAGACCAGCTGACCCCAGCATAAGGGCTTGTCTTGCCTGGGCCTGCAGCCCCAGGCTGTCCAAAGCACTGATGCCAGCCCTGCCCCAGCAACCTCCGCAGGTCCTCAATGGCAGCTGCTGAGACATGCAGGCCACAGAGCCTCCTCTCACAGGCTCTCCTCTCACAGCCTCCTCTCACTGGTGATCAACCATCACCGCACAGGCTGCACCCAGCAACCCTGGGACTGTGAGCTCCCAGGGATTTGGGCACCACGGGCTGCAGCACACGTGTGCTGTGTGCTCAGTGCAGGGTGAACACAGTGACAAGCCTTCCGCCTTGGCTCCAGCCCCATGAGCTGCCCGCCCAGTGCACCTGTCCCTCCTCTAGCAGTCCTACTCTCTCCCACACTCCCAGCCACCCATGGGGGCACTGTACCCCACACTTCCCACCTCAGGAGATGCCGAGGGGCCAGGGGTGGGCTTCCAGCATGGGATGCACCCAGCTTTCTCACTGCAGGGAGGAAGGGGGCCGCTGGCCGGGACTTCCTCATTTGCCTTCCTGAGGCCACTTCTAGAGATGTTGCTCGAGAGCTGCAGCTCCGTGTGCCTGCACAGGCTGCTGTGTGGAGGGCAGGTTCGGGCACTGGGAGGGACCCCTCCAGGGTGCTCTCTGTAAAATGGGATGACAGTAGCTCCAGGCACACGGAGCTGCTAGACAGCACAACCCAGCCACTCATGTTGATGCCCTCGACAGAGCACCTGGCCCCCTCCACATGGAAACCAGCACCAGAGCAGGCCCTCTGGGAAACAAGCACAGAAAGCCTAGGCAACTTGCCTCAGGACACACAGTCCAACAGCTCCAAATCCCCTTCAGACCCTGCTCCTTCCTAAAACCTGCTCCACTAACAACCCAGTGGGAGCTGCTCCAAAGGACACTCTCATCTGCACTGGAGCCATTTCCCTCTGGCCTGCAGCTCTGCCACAAAGGTGGCAACCCATGGGCAGCCGGATTTCCCAGGAAACAGCTTTAAGGGTAGGGAAAGGCCTAATGACACACACCAGTGTCCCCTCTAGACAGCGCCACCTCCAAGGCAGGTGATGGGGCCTGCCCAGGCCAATTCCGGCTTCCGCAACTGACACTTACCAAAAGGAATTGCCAGTGACTAAGTCCTGGGCGGGCAGGGCACGTCACAACCCTGGCGAGGCAAATACTACGCTGCTCCCTCTGTAAGGTGACAGTGTGGCAGGCCAGAGGGTCGGCTGACTCTCCAAGGGGACAGCCCAAGGCCACTGTCTGGCCAGACTCCACCACGGTGCTCAGCACCACCCACCGTCCCCACCAGCAGTCATCCCACAACCCCTCACACCTTCAGGACCCAGAAAGGCTGCAGCCAAACACCACCCACTACAGCCGACAACAGGCTCACTTCCCGACAGCCTCGGGGACCCACTGGTGACATTTCCACCATAACCAGGCACCAGTTGCTCAACCGTGTCCACAGGTCAGTGGTGCGGGCTGAGTGGGAGGGGGCGTGGACTCACGTGGAGGTGATGGTGCGGAAGCGCTCCTGCCCCGCCGTGTCCCAGATCTGCAGCTTCACCTTCTCCCCGTTTATCTCCACGGTCCGGATCTTGAAATCCACTCCAATCGTGGTGATGTAGCTGCCTGCACACACATGGCAGTTAACGAAGCCCAGCACAGGTCTCCCTGCAGGCCCCCAGCCCCACACTGCACACGACACACCCCCAGGCTCCCGCACCCCCAGCTCATTACATGTGCCTGGTACATTCTAGGACCCATGGACACAGCCCTGAACAGGAACACGAGGCCCCTCCACCCACAAGTAAAGTGAAGGAGGGAGGCAGGATGCAAGGAAACAAACAAGGGACAATTTCTGAGAGTGAAAGTGATATGCAGGAAATAAAGCAGGATGGGAGCGGGACAGGATCTTTTAGAGTGGCTAGGTGGGGACACGCCAGCTATGTCTCAGAATGGTAGACCTATGGCGGGCACACTCTGGGTTTTTCTTTTCTATTCAATTTAAAAATTTTTTGTGGCCCTCAAAATTCACTTCCAAACACACAAATAGGTCATGAGCTGCAGTCTGAAAACCATCGTTCCAGGCAGGGGAGATAGCAGCAAAAAGACAGCAGCCACGGGTGGGATTACGTGAGGTCAAGCCCTCGGCCCAAGGCAGGCAGAACGTGGCGAGGCCAGATCTTGGACCTGAGTGCCACTTCCAAGAATGTGGACTTTCTCTCGTGCGTGATGAGGAGGCACCAAAGGGTTTCATTGGGGTGTGAGATGCATTTTAAATAGCCTTCTTGCAGCATCTGTGAGAAAAATGGATTTTTTTTTTTTTTTTGAGACAACGTCTCATTCTGTCACCCAGGCTAGAGTGAAGTGGGACTGCATCCTTGACCCTTCTCAGGCTCTGACAATCCTCCCAGCTCAGCCTCCTGAGTAGCTGGACTACAGGCACGTGCTGCCACACCTGGATAATTTTTTTTTTTTTTTTTGAGGTGGAGTCTAGCTCTCTTGCCCAGTAGTGTCATGGTGCGATCTTGGCTCACCACAACCTTCACCTGCTGGGTTCAAGTGATTCTCCTGCCTCAGCCTTCCAAGTAGCTGGGACAACAGGCATGCGCCACCATACCCAGCTAAATTTTTTTTGCTTTTTTTTTTTCTTTAGTAGAGACGGCCAGGCTGGTCTTTAATTCCTGACCTCGTGATCCACCGGCCTCCACCTCCCAAAAGTGCTGGGATTACAGGTGTGAGCTACCTCGCCCAGCCTTTTTTTTTTTTTTTTTTGAGACAGAGTCTCACTCTGTCACCCACGCTGGAGTGCAATGGCACGATCTCAGCTCACTGCAACCTCTGACCCCCCCGAGTTCAAGCGATTCTCCTGCCTCACCTCCCAAGTAGCTGGAATTACAGGCTCCTGCAACTGCACCTGGCTAATTTTTGCATTTTTAGTAGAGATGGGGTTTCACCATCTTGGCCAAGCTGGTCTCGAACTTCTGACCTCATGATCCACCCGCCTAGGCCTCTCAAAGTGCTGGGATTACGGGCCTGAGTCACCAAGCCCATATTTTTGTATTTTTAGTAGAGACAGGGTTTCACCATGTTGCCTAGACTGGTGTCAAACTCCTGACCTCAAGTGATCCACCTGCCTTGACCTCCCAAAGTGTTGGGATTATAGGTGCAAGCCACCACGTCCAGCCTGAAAGATGGATTTGAGGACGATTTCTAGCTGGCGTAATTGTCCAGTCCAGCCTTCCAAAGCCTGACGCTAGGAAGAGCACAACTTCTCACTACATTTGGGGCTTACGATGTAACAGTACAGGAGACACCACGCACAGACACAATTATGTGAAATGTGGCAAGGGCGGAGCAAAGGTCAAATTCCAAGGTGGGGTGGAGAACAAGGCAGGCTGCAGGGAGGATGTCATAGCTGGGCTTAGCTTGAAAGAACAGGTAAGACTTCAAAGGTTGAGATTAGGTAGGGAAAAGATGTCCCACTCAAAGGCAAATAGCCGAGGCAAACCCACAACCAGAACTTTGGAACACCAAGGAGTGCGGCCCAGCGCCTAGCAGAGTCAGGCTTTCCAGAAACAGCTGGGGGGTAACAAACGGGCAAGCCAAAGAACAAAAGGATGATCAGGTGGTAGGACAAAGCCAGAGAGGTGAAGTGGAAACAGACCATGAAAGACAGTGGTTCTCAGCTGGGATGACTGTGTCCCTCCAAAGGACACTCAACAATGTCTGAAGGCATTTTTGGGTGTCACAGCAGGGGGAGGGGAAGTGTTGCCGGCAATCAGTGGGTGGAGGCCAGGGATGCCACTCGACATCCTTCACGAAGGACAGCCCCACAACAAAAAACACAGGGTCCAAAGGGTCAACCGTGTCCCAGTGAAAACCTTGCTGCAAACTCTGCTCAGGTGAGGGGCCACTGTTTTTTTTTGTTTTCTGTTGGTTTTTTTTTTGAGACAGAGTCTCACTCTGTTGCCCAGGCTGGAGTGCAGTGGCATAATCTCCGCTCAACCATGACCTCCACCTCCCGGGTCCAAGCATTGACTATCCTACCTCAGCCTCCCAAGTAGCTGGGACCACGGGCGCGTGCCACCACACCTGCCTAATTTTTTTTGTATTTGTAGTACAGGTGGGGTTTCACAGTGTTAGCCAGGATGGTCTTGATCTCCTGACCTCATGATCCACCCAGCTTGGCCTCCCAAAGTGATGGGATTACAGGCATGAGCCACTGCGCCCAGCAGGTGCCACTGTTTTTAAACAGCGAAAAGACAGTGCTAGACACACGAATTAGCAGTTCAGGGTGGGTGAGGGTTGCCATAATGCTTCCAGGTAGAACCAACAGCAAACTGAGATACTGGTAGTAGAACTAGAAAGTGGGAAGAGATTGCAAAAATGAGCCCTCCAAGCATCAAATGCTGATTAGATGGGGAGGAAGACAGGCATTAAGGAGGAAGAGAAACATTTTTCAGCATAATTAGAGTCTGTTAATCAGTTATAATTCTTGAACAGAAGGTAACAGCCAGCTACAACAAATAGCTGGCGTTTATTGAGCAATTACTTAGTCCCAGGCACTGTAACCTGTGCTATCTCAGGTCATCCTATAACAACTCCATGGGGGAAGGACCATTATGATTTCTACTTTACATATGAACTGAGGCTTAATCACTGGCTCAAGGTCACACAGAGAAGCCATTGCTTTCCAACACCACACCACCAGCGAGGATGCAGGGCCAGTGTCAAGGAAAGAAGGGGGGTAGCAAAATCCACTTCTCCACCAAGAGAAATGTCAGCCATGGAATCACTTTCTAAAAGCAGCTCAGCCATGTCAGAGGAAATATTCCACAAGACAATCAATCAGAGACGCCAACCCCACCCAAACATCTGTAACGAACCTGATGTATTTAACAAACAAAAATGTGTTCAGCTGGGCACAGTGGCTCATGCCTGTAATCCCAGCACTTTGGGAGGCTGAGGCATGCGGATCACAAGGTCAGGAGATCGGGACCATTGTGGCCAACATGGTGAAAACCTGTCTCTATTAAAAATACAAAAATTAGCTGGACATGGCGGTGCATGCCTGTAATCCCAGCTACTCAGGAGGCTGAAGCAGGAGAATTGCTTGAACCAGAGAATTGGAGGTTGCAGTGAGCCAAGATCTCGCCCCTGCACTCCAGCATGGCAACAGAGGGTGACTCCCTCTCAAAAAAAAAAATGTGCTTAATCTTACCAGTGATTAGGGAAAAACAAAGGTAAACAAGTTAGCCCCTTGTGCCTATCAGCTCAACAAGAATGAAGACAGCTACTAAGATCCAGCATTGATCAGGGTTGACAAGGGGCACTTTCCACCCTTCAG